TTCTTGGGGCTCATCAGGTAGGCGCAGTCTCCGAGAAGGGCGAAACCGGTCGTTGTCTGTCGACGGATTTTCAGCAACCTTATGAGTAGTACATTACAAAGATATCTTATCCTTATTAGTTGCTCTTATACTGTTTCGGAACGCATGACGTCAAACGACGGGCCGCAAGAGATCTAGTTATACACGTCAGTTACACTTCAGTTAACGAAATTTGTGATTAAATAAACAGACAGGACAGTTGCAATCAAACTGTCATTGCAAAGGGTCAGTGATCAGGTGAACAATCATGGTTGGTCTTTAGTAAACTGACAAGGTTTACGGTTTTCGATGGAAAAAAACCTACGTACTTTCTTACTGATTCCAGTGCGATAGCCGACGAAATGCGAAGGGCAAAAGTAGCTGGAATAGAAAAAATTAAACTTCCAGGCTGAAACATTCAGTGAATGACTTGGAGACAAACGCGTTGTTAACCTAGCGAACGCTGACATGGATTGTATAGTGTGGAAATAACGGGCTTTCTAGTAATGAGTGATGAGTAATGCAAGGAAAGACTTGAAATTCCTGTGTGCCTCAAACGAAGCAGACAGTTCGCCAAGTGTTCCAACGTTGGTGTCATTGAATATCTTTCTGCCTACTCGTGTTTTGAAAGTACTAAGGATAATTCCGAGTGTCCAAATAAGGTCGGTGAAAAGTAGTGTCCTACGTTTATTGTGTATTGCTGGCATCAGAAATGTGTAAGTGCTCCAAGTTGATATTTGCATGAAACACAAAGGTCGGTCAATAACAAGGGTTTAAAAGACTAGGTTTGGTGACTATTTACTGATAGGCGACTGGCCCCTTCGATAACCAAGAGAAAACAATGGCGGAGACGGTCAGTTTTAGGTGATCGATGGTACTGTGTTCTTTGAAAGTAAATGTGTTTATAGCACACTAGAAAAGGAGGGAAACTTGAAGCGTGCTCAACTTCTTAAATATTAGTGTGTCAATTGGACGTCATTCGACGAAAGAACTTTAGCGAATTATTGAACACAAACAAGACAAACTAACAATAAATTGACTACACGGTAGCGCCAAGAGTATGCACTACGCGTTATCTTCGGAAAGCCATATTCGATTCCAGTGTGTGTACCAGCTGTGACGTTCCGCGTCATTTTTTGGAGCGTTTCCCTTCAAGGTGTTGGACAGAGGTACCACTTTCGGCTTAACCTTATCAGAGAAACGAAAGATTCTTTTCTTGAATGAAATGGTATCTATCAAGTCGCATTGGGTCTAGTACGTGGGAGTTGGCTGCAGCCCCAATTTTCTGTTCAATTTTGCGTAGCCAGTCTTCCATTATGTCGACCAATCCAGCGTTAATCTAAGCACATCACGCTGTCTAGTGATCAATCGGGATGGATGTTTTTGCGTCTATCAGCGTCCGTCTTCACATTGCCGGTTTTTTGTCGGGGTTTTCTGCTTGGAGCAAATACGATAAATGTCCCCCGGTAAAAGGCATATTGGTGTTCATTTTGTGAAACATTCCTAACCCGTGTAACTTTTCATCGAGCCATTGGAATCATCATCATTGTCAGCTGTAGTAGCCGCCTACTTGTCGTACAGTGGTTGTAGCTGCCTTAGTTTCGTTCACCGATGACTCAGGGAGGTAGGGTAGGTAGCTGCGTACTGGAGGCGGAAGCTGATAAATTAGTGCACAAATATAGCCCTGTAGGTTGACCGTTAAGTGGGAGGACTGGGAGCGGAGCTATGCATTGAAGGCAACAGCTTGGATGCACGAGCGCCGTTGAGGACGCGACTGGGCCACGTCTGACAATGTCTCTAACCATTGGCCCGTCTCAGGAAGACGGCAATGACCAGCGCAGCTGAGTTTCTGGTAATGGCTTTTATACTTCGCTGCCACGTCATTGTTTGACCGCCTCTGGCTCTCTTCCGCCCTTCAGATCGCTGTGAGAAAACAGCCCTTCGAGGAAGTCGGTCGACTGGCATATGCGGCACGTGGCCAATCCAGCGCAACCTATGCAGTGTGATCAGTTCATCTATTGAGGTTGAGTTATCTTCCCGAATACCATTGCTGATCCGATGTTCCCACCATTAGAGTAAAAGCCCATGAATCCAAATGAATTATTATTTCGGCAAGCAAGTGACATACCTCTCGGATATTCGAAATCCTTCGACAATTGAATCCATAGCGATCCGTAGTCACGATATCTGGCTCTGTCCTCGTGTGCGTTGTAGTCTGTCGGGGGCTGGAACATTCAAAGGTAGAGCATACCAATAGACCTATTTTGGGAGATGCGTAAACCGTCTGAATTCACCGAGCAATACAAATACGATGTTAAGTAGGAGGTTCGTGAGAGTACTCCCTCCTTATTGGGGCACACATTGGACGATATGGGGCTTGAGTGGTTTTCCCTCGCAGTTTCTGCATTTCATAACGCCCCTTTGAATGGTTATCGTTTCTGGAAGTTTATTATGGCCTTCATTCACATTTTGTAGAACATGAGGTTGACGGAAACTCGGGGACTGCGCCTACCTGATGAGACCCAAGAAGGGCGAAACCGGTCGTGGGCTGTCGACGAATTTTCAGCAACCTTACCAGTAAAGCATCACAAATATATACATGTGTCGTGATATCTCGAATATCCTAGTGACTGAAACATGAGACGGCCTGGTACAACACATTAAGTTACCTGGAAACATCGCGAACAAGAGATTCAGCTGGGTTCCAGGCGAGTCTCTCACAAAACCAAATTAGTTTGCAAATGAGTGTATATTCGCTACTGTTAGCTATATTTGAAGATTCTTAACGAAGCAGTCCAATCAGATGGAACACGTACGCCACTTGGACTAAAAGTGAAACTAATTATGAATCCCATTTTAAAAAATTCTTGGTCGAGCAAACATTTCCCGGAGTACTAAAATCTACAAGGCAATCTGTTCGTAGTTGATTTTAGCTAACCAGAAAACTGGCGAAATCTGGTCACTGTTTCCAGTTTACTTACGAAGAAATCATTCCCCATGTTTGCACCTCTTAGTACGAGTGCCTCTGTAAGAAAGTTGTTTCTTATCTGAGTCTTATGAACTGAAAGCACAGGGGGAATCTCACTGATTACCACAATTTTTTCCTTCACTTAGCGTGTGTTCCAGCATTATCCACAGAGTTCACCCACCGTTTTGTCAGACACGTGCATGGATTCTTTTCCTCTATTCTTATTGTGTACAACCCCGTTTTTGTTACCACTTCGTGCCCATTCCGCATTTCTTGTTTTGACCTGGGCTGTTTGACCTTCGCATCACATGTGATGCTTAGATCAATACATGAGTTTCGCTATCTTGTGGCCATCTTACCTCGCGTCAGTGTGGACTATGGGATCACTTTAGTAACTAGGGTTTCCTAAACCAGTGTACGGAAGCCACGATTTGAGCTTTGTACGGCTTAATTATTTTACCATCTTATTCATAGCACAGCATTTATTGATAATCCTCCATTTGAACCATTTTGCTCTTGAGATTCGCGCGTAACTGAACGCGAACCAACTGACTACTGGAAACAATCAGTAATATGTCCCCAGAGGAAATCGCTTGGCGACCGTCTAGATCCATCTATTACCTAACTTACCTTAGTGTTTTCTGTCTGCGTACGTTACACAATACTAATTTGTGAATGTCGTTACCGTCGTTATGATGACTTTGCGATCGTTTATCTTATCAGTTTTATTTTGGATTTTAATAACAGAAAAAAGAGAATCACTAGCCGGATGTTGAATAAGATTTTACCGCTCAGATTATCTCTATTTTGTGACTATTTCGTTGATTAGGCCTTCTTTCTGATTTTTTATGTGCAATACATTCCAGTCTAGAACAGTAGTCTTCGATTATTTCCTTCGTTCGTAATCCCCATTTCAGATGACATCTTCCCTTTATCTCATGTGAAACAGTCTTAAGGCAGAAGTCGAACCCCTCAGAAGAGGTACCGCCGACGAGAGATCACCTTAACACAAGACAGGTAACAGCACCGTCGGCCTGCCATATCATCCCTTTGCTAATAATATGATATTTCCCCAGAGGGATCACCTTCTAGAGAAAGCTAATACTTCAGTTTTTCTCGCCGGACTTTTTATTGACTATGATGATAAAATGACAGATAAGTCGTTGCTCATTTTGTGTGAATCGACATTTGATTGCAAGTGTCAAACTGATTGGCCATCAGATATACCTTTTTTGAGATGTGTCCAGTTCTTTCGATATTTGGAAGAAATCGGATAAACGAATCTTCGATCTGCACACAGGACATGCTTTTTAGCAAACCGCAGCCGACGTACAACTGGATGAAAATGGAAAAATTCTGCTGGAATCCCGAAAACGTCCGGATATCAAACTAGTGGGCGAACAGATAGTTGCTTACTGACTTGATCACCGCTTTTATGATCCATTTTTAGGCCCTGTCTTGTTTTTCGACCAAGACTAGTGGTTGCTAAATTTGCTGGTCAGAAACCGTCGGCTAACTCTCGCTCATACAATTAACAACAAAGTAATCAGAACCTTCCGCACCAACCCAATGCGGATATAGAGGTTAGTTTTTTCGAGCTCGAAATACGTAGTAAGTAACAAAGACATCATTGAACTTAGAATTTGTTGGCTTGTGAACAGCATGCGTCGGCCTTTCTGCCCAGAACTAGTCGAAGTACCTACTCGTTTCTGTAATCAGACTGGGTTCAACAAGAGTTGCCACAGATTGGTCACACGAACGGCCTTAATGATTAACACTTGTCCCACATATTATAGTGAGGTTCATTTTTTACGAAGAGTAGACGATACTAAGGAAGGATATGACGCTGAAAGAATGATTACGCAAGCCGTCTTGAAGAACACTCCTTGGCGCCTTTTTTGGAGCCATTCGTAACGCCGACCGTCAGTTTATCATCGTTCGCCTGAGAAGCTAAACGTTTACAGAATTTGAAGCAGTGATATGCAGAGTTCTGTTGAATTTGAGGAACCGACATATAGTACAGAGAGATTATGTGACATCAACATTTCCTCGGGAGATGCTTTTTCTTCAGGATTATCAACATAGTAGTTTGCACATTACATAAACGAGTGCACATTTGGGAAAAGCAGTGTAAGGTAGAAAAAACTGGACACCGAAGGGGAGTAACAAAACACCATGGCTTACTTTTAAATCGTTCGAGCAAGGTAATTGCATGAATTGTTCACCTGTGCGAATGGAAATACCACAGAATACAAGTTGTTTTCAGTTTGTAACCCAAAAGTGTTTCATCGTCAAGTCCTTAAAAGGAGGGTAGTCTTTAGGCGGATTAAGCAACTTGGTTACATTTTTTTGGGAACGACATCTAATGTATTCTCTAACAGGTCAGCTTTATTGCGCTGTTGTTGTTCGTTCAACATCCCACTTTGACTGTCGGTAGACAATCTTCCAGAATCGATCTCAAACCGACTGACCGTTTGGGTTCTGTCTACTGAGGTGTATACTATCAGACCATGCGTACTACTGACGGGGCACGCGAGTAGTATGTTTTCTTGCAAAACCGCTTCGGGATCCTTGAAAAGTGAGGGGCATTTGCTTGCATTCGATTAACAGTCAATGACTATCTAGGAAGGTTCAGGAATACGCGTTCAAGGAGAAGATGGATATTCAGTTTTCGTCCAATAGTCCATAACTTTCCAGTTGGTGTTTTCTATTAAGTAGCTCCGCAGCGAAAGCCTGCTTCCTTTCACTGGTGGAATAAAAGAGTGGACAAAAAGATGAATAGTACCACAGCTCTTGCCTACTTGAACCCACAGCTGTATGCTGACCCTTAACTGTAGGTATTCTGTTTATGATGTGCTGTGACTCCAACTCATATTCTGATCGTCCATCCTGAAAGTGGCATTTTCGGGGGAAAATATTTACGTGCGCGATTGCGGTACACACATTACTGTATGAGAAGTTGCTGGCTTTTCTGTCCTCTAAGGTTTAGGTCTCTGTCTCAGGCAAGGGCAAACCACGGTTCCTGACAATGCAACTCAGCTTTTTAGGCCTGGACAGGCGGTCAAGGCGTTATTGTCTATGAATGTAATACTGCCTGAGTTGGGACTGTCGAAATTCTGAATTCACTTCGAGTGATTTCAGGCAAGTTTCCCTATTCGAACGATCGATAACTATCGGTGGCCCAGTCAGGATGTTAGCATTCCCAGTAACACTCGCACAAGGGGAATCGTCCTCTAAACTGCGATGTTTTGGAATCAGCACGAGACAAACAGGCGCAGTCGGAGTGAATTACAGTTTGAACTTTCGGAACAAAATTCCCAATTGTAAGAAATCATGGACAACCGCAAGTGGAGCTTGTTAACTTCATAGAATACTCGCTACTGGAATCAGTAGACACTTGGGTTTGTCAATCGAAATTGGGCGAATGACTTATCTCATTCCAAAAATTCATAGTAAATCAATTCGGTGATGTTTGCTGAATTAGGGGATTTTACGAGGGGAATCTGGCGACAGTAAGTTCTTTAGGTGGGCTTTTAAATTGATCGACCAGCTGCGGTCACTCTCGGGCTTCTTTGTGGCAGCAACTCAAAAGTTCCACGAACTACTACCACCGTCTGTTGATTCGGAATGAACACAAAAGGTGGATGGCGTACGGTAGAGTGGAAAAATCAAACAGAACTGCAGAAATCACTAAGGCGGACTACACTAGTTAAACCTATTTCAATTTGGCGGTTTAAATAAACTGATGAACATGACAAAATATCTGAGGATATCAGGGTTTTCGCTAAACTACTCACTCATTTTTGAATAATCGCTAAACTAAATTTTGCGCAGCAAAATTGATGGGGACCACTCCCTAGATGCATTCAAAGTGGAAAGAACTTTACCTAACCGATTTAGGAACTGTGAGCCACGGCTGAAACAACGAGCTAGTAAAGAATGTTACTAGGAACGATTTATTGTACCAACCGACGTCGAATGGATTGTTCGAGCAGAAACTGCGCAGCAAAATCCGTGTTTGTCGCTAACTACCGCCTATGTGCGTAGCAATCGTGAGAATCAGTAAAACCAACCAAATTTTCGTTTGACAACAAAAGAAGCAGTTGAATCGCTAGTTACTCAAAATTAGCTTTGTGCTGTCCACCAGCAATAAGTCCGTCGGAGAGATTTCAGCAATCTTGTGAGTAGCGTATTGAATCTACTTAATATATTCCGATAGCTCAAATATCGCACCTACTGAAACAAGAGGTGATCTGGTCCAGCACATTTAGTCTGGATGATTAGCATAAACGAGAGGTTGAGCTCGGTTCCGGCAAAGTCAAAACGGTATGAAAATGAGTGTATAAGTCGAAATTTAGTTGTTATTTCGATGTCTGAAGCATATCATTACCACGCATAAAAATAACATTGAAGTTTCCGGGGAGAATGCTAAATTGGGACCAATTGGTAAGGAGAAATCGTCTTTTAAGCTTTATGTATAAGTAGTATGCGTTTTAGTTCCTCAAGAATTAGCGTACCAATCATTCGGTTTTTGGCGGGAAGTGAAAACCGGATTTGTGGACGCTCCTTAAGTCGACGCTCCGTCACTTCAGCTGGAATATCTGGAATAAAACGGGATGTAGGCAACTGAGTGACTTCTTGATTGAGCAAAAGTCACCATGGGTAAACCAAAACAAATGAAAATCTCTGTGGTTAGATTAAATTCCGGATGTCGTTAATTGTTACTTGTGAATACTGAGCGCCCGGGCAGGCTGTCAGTTTTTAATCATCGTAAAAATATAACCAGAAAGAACTCTTGATGCTGTCACATTAAGCACCAAATAAGTCTGTGGATCACATTAAGCGTCGGGAAAACCCTCGGTTAAAAGTACATATGTGATGCGCCTCAAATACCGGAGAACCTCTGATCGTCCTAAAGTTACCTATAAGGGTCTTTTGGTAATACAATAAGGGTTTCACTTTTCAGGCAAAATCAATCAGTTTTCAAAAGTCGGAAGGTAACTTGAATTGACTGGCAATTGTCGGCAGTTTGAATCTTACGGGTTTCCTCAGAAATTGGAACACCTTACTTTCGAGCTGGTGGTAAATATCTGAACGTTTTGGATACCAATCGATAATTGGCAGTGCCAGAAACCCAGGGTTAGGCAGGATGTCATGCCACGCATTTCGTATTCACACATTCACGTATTCAGTAATTATTGACTTCCAAATCTCGTGTGGTCGTCGAACTATGTGTGATCTGCTGCCAAATGGATGGATCTCACAAGCTGAGTGCACAGCCCCTCGACAAGTCATCTATGAAGGCATTCGACCCATCACCACGTGTCAATTCACATAACATCAGGATAATGGACATGAAAAGAAAATTATGGGATTACAGACCTACATATCAGGTCCTGATGAAACGCAGTGTATTCAAATGTCTGTAGCATACGCGTCATTTGACCAACCAGAACGACATACAAGAGAGGCAATTCGTCACTATCATATGTCCTGAATTCTGAAAATGGTTCTAGAGCAAAGCAGCCAAGATATCGAGAAAAAACGGCCACTGTTGGTTGCTTGATAAAATAGTTTATCAATCGGGGGAGGGGGTATATTCTTGACCAGGGCAGAACCCAGCCTCATCTCTCAAAATATGACAAGTGTTCATGGATAAGGCTGAACAAAATGTCACTGGAAAGAGCAATGGTGATTCTCTCTGTTAGGGTTACATGGCACATTTATGAATGTCGGAAGCGGTCCATTCTTTCAATAAGACTGAATATCTTAGATTCATATTCCTTACAAACTGTAGGGTGCAAGTTTCCGGAGACAGTGAGGCCACACGGATGGTCACAGAGGGTACATGAAGCATCGGTTTCCTCACCTTCACGCAACATTAAATGGACGTTCACTCCACACTTGGTCTGACTCCACAAAGTAAAAAGCACTACTTAGGTTTCTATGGCACACTCTAGAAGAGCCTTGGTACTGACCCAAACAAGTACACAAAATTGACGCTCACTATTTTTGCGTCTTTGGGGTCACCCGCTCAGTTTCAACTTTATTTTTAACCTTGAAAATGCTCACACACACGTCTTATATTAAAATGGGAGTTCGACTGTACCTGCCACGAGAGGAGAAACGTATGGGGTGGATATCAATCATGAAAATCTCTTGTGCCGTAAAGGTGCGGTCTCACTGGGCGTGTCAGAATAAACGCTAAATCAGTCCACACTTTGTAATCGTGACTCCAGCATTCTTCTCCACGTATGCATTTGATGTACTAACAGTCGAACACTGTCAACTCCTTCAGTAAACCCTTTCGGGAGGGGGGGGGCATTCACCTAATGGACAGCAACTGTTAACTGCCAGATATTCGCACAACGTTGCTAAAACCTGACGAAATCAAGAAATCGGTGGAATGTGCAACACAATAGGAGCAAAGGATTCGTCCCTGGTTACGTCGTTGCGGCACCTACACGGGAAGACTTCCAATAACGAGATAAAATTGAGTAGCACCGATCAAACTAGTCAGAAACTATGTGGGACTTCGATAGATTACATGGTACCTTTGAGAATGTCAGGTGATTTTGTTGAATAAAAATGTTTGATAGATTTACTCCCTAACATTATCATACAACTAGTTAAAACCGAACGGTTGAAACACAAATATATACCGCAAGCAATGTACTTCAGACCCGTCGTTCTTTCATTCATCAGCCTGGTATCCTTGTTCAAAGTTGAGGTGAGATCAGGGGCGCACCAGATTATACAGAGATTTTGTTTCGACATTCGAGTAATCAGGTCGTAATAGAGCTGCCGAAAGAAAGAGGTAGACCATTGATAAAAACACCAAATTACAAAAACAGCAGAGTTATAAAAAGAGTCCAGCTTTTGAGCCGTTACTTCAGGAAAGTCAGTGCATCGTAGGACAAATATTTCAAGTAAAAAATACGTCATTCTTTTCAGATTTATCAAAAGAAGTCGGGTAAATAATCTTTTTTCAGAAGAGTGGTTCGGAATTATTGTAGTTTCGGCAGAAACATTCACCGACCAATTACCCGACTCAAAGTACTATGGGAGCGCAGGTGGAAACCTCCAAACTGACCATAAGGTTTGTTGATTTTGGCCAGACGGTACAGGACGTGGTAGGTTAGGCTGACAAGCCTCTGTTCCTGCGGGACCGTTGCCACAATAGTAGCTGTTCCAATGTCTTTTGTGACACCGCTAACCTCTGAGTGCAAGGTACACCGAAACACACATATGTGAATGGGGCTACTCCTTATGTGAATGAGTAATAACCCGGTTATCTGCGAACTGATCAATTGTCTCCTTCAGCGATACGACACAAAGTGTTGACGCAGTTCATCTGGCAATCAAATGAACTGGAAATGTCCCCCAACCCATCGTGTGATCCTTAGCGATTTTAGTCCTTAGGCATAAGGTCACCGAGACCCATTTGTGACGTCAGAGAGGACGATATCGATCGGTCGAGGCAGATAATGTGATTCTTCCAGCATCCCGCAATTATGGGGTTTTGCGGGATAGGTATATTTGTTCATAGCCACACCACTCTCGTCTGAACGGCCGTGTTCTTGTTCTGGCGTAATCATTCCGGTGAGTCCACATCAAAGGGAAGCACTGGACTCGAGCTTCGCTCTCATTAGAGCCCATCAGCAGTGCATATCCAATGGTCATGCCGGGATTTGAACCCAGAACATCTGACATGCAAGGTGAGCGTGGAACCACTACTCTACCAACGCACGCTGGACGCAGCTGAATTATCACGTCTGAACAGGCCACAAAAACCCCAAAAACTGCAACCCAAATGTTGCCCAGTGGGTTTCAAGCGTGAGTCATTCTATCTGACTGAGAAGTCCTACTGGTGGGTCAGTCGATGGTCACTACCAGGACAGTTACTGGGTCGTCGTCCGATGAGTCGGATACACCAGTCACATCATTCAAGTGTGAACACGTTCGCCTGTTCAGACGTGAAAATTCAGATGCGTCCAATGTGCGTCGGTGGAGTAGTAGTTACACGCTCGCCTCGAATGTCAGATGTCCGGGGTTCAAATCCCGGCACGACCTTTAGATATGCACTGCTGGTGAGCTCTAATAAGAGCGAAACTCGAGTTCAGTGCTTTCCCCTGGTGTGGACTCACCGGAATAATTCCGCTGGAACAGGAGGATGGCCGTTCAAACGCGAGTGGTGTGCCTAGGAACAAGACATCTCTCTTTGTTAGTAAGAGCTGTTGCTTGGCTCGCAACAGACTCAAGGTAGATACCCGTTTTACTCAGACCGATTGAATGCATTATATGCTTCAGCTGAGCTCTTTTGGAGAGTTAAGGTGACAACGAGATTATCCAGTTCCCGAAGACTGAACATTCAAATAAAGTATCTTCCACAAGATCAGCTATCCGCTCTTCTGAAAGACATTCGTGTTCTTGATGCTAATTGATATTTAAATACTGTTGATTTGTGTCAGACAGCCAAAGAGAGGGGTTGCGCTTGTATAAACCAACAATGAGGTCGACAGACAGCCTTCAAGGCAGTTGACCTATTTTTATCTTTCCAGAACTAGTTTAAATGGTCATCTGTAGTGTCTGATCGATTGCCGTTGTTCTTTTTTTGGGGCAAGCATACTGGGAAGAGAAGCTCACCTGGAAATTGGTCTCCTTGACTAGAAAATAACCGGAATAAAGATCTTCCATGGAAACACGATGCATCATGTTCGCCAAACTAATTGTGCTCACGTAGGCCGGATGCACTGGTTGGTCGATAAAACGACTTTCTTGAACAATTTTCAGCTCTTGTACATAGGTTGCAAATGTATGAGGATCATCGTTCCACAGGAAATCCCAGTTGCTTTGGTCCCATTGATTCAGGCAGCGACCAGCTTCCTCCGTTAGGAATTTCAGATAGTCGTACACGGCTCCGCAAATCTGTGAATCCAAGATAGTGTTTTTCTGCACGTTATTAACAATCGGATAAGCAAAATATATCCCAGGAAAAAAGTACTCTCTTAGTAGACGAATGGCCGTCAACGCGCTAATGAACACACTTTGCATGTTCCTGGAGATTAGCGTTTGATTGCCCCGAGGTAATAGTTATTGTATTGGGGAGGAAGTGTGACAAATGTATGGCGATGAACCTTTTAAACTAGATTTTTCCACAACTGGAATTGTGGACATCGTTTAGAGAAACTACCCCTCTGTTGTGTCTAGTGTTATGTCCAGTGCGGAATAGCAAGCTCCGTTTAATGATCCTGTGAGCTGCATTTGGTGATTGATTGTTCTGACGATCATCACACTCAAAAAAAACATGCTAAATGATTAGTCTTAAGCACCAATGTCAATTTTTTTGACGGGATACTCACCTAAAGCCTAGCTAACTCTCTTGTTTGGGGTGATTTTAACCAAATGAATGCGCAACGCCAGATCGCCTCATGTTTCATTTGGTACGATATTCGATATATCGTAGTAGATTTTCACAAAAAGGAACCATTCACCAGGATGCCGAAGTCTCTTCGACAGCCCACGACCGGTTTAGTCATTTTTGCGGCTTATCAGGTAGGCGCAGTCACCGAGTTTCCGTCAACCTCATGTTCCACTTGAACCCAAATTGGACAGATTTCGACAAATACACTCATTCGCACATCAACTGGATTTTCACGGAAGACTCTAATGAAGGATGATTCTTCAGCCAAAAGTGCTTTATAAAGGCCACCTCATGTTTCAGTTGGTACAACATTCGAGACAGCGAAGCGTAATACGCTACTCATAAGGTTGCTGAAAACTCTTCGATAGCTTACGACCGGTAGGCAAGTAGGTGAGTGTATAAGTCTAATTTCATGCTATTTGTGTTCAAGTGGAACATATGATTGACAAAAATTAGGGAACTGCACCTACCTGATGAGTTCCAAGAATGCAGGACCGGTCGTGGACTGGTGAAGGGTTTTCAGCAACCTAATAACTAGTTCATTGCGTCTATATGATTGATGGCTGCTGTTAAAATGAGCATACTTTCAGCCACATCGGCTCATAGATCTGGTTCCTAGGCAATCAATCAGGGCGACACCATTCGTTTGACATTCAGTCAGATAAATTGAAATTTTGGCGACGATGTAAAAAAAATGATAAAATGATACGAATTTGACAAGGAATTCCTTGCCTGTGCTGAATACTGTATTAGTTCGAGACTAGGTTGTAAAGCACCGTATGACAATGGGATGTATTAATCTGCACTCGCCCATTGTGCTTGCTGCATATATGAATCAAATACTCAAATGTTAGCGCGGTAAAAAAGCACGAACCTCGGATATTCGCTGCGTGCCAGTCTGCGTCAAATTCATATGGACAACGAAGAAGGTACAGATCGTGGAGTTTGAGAACTCACAAAGCGTTCCAAAATCACAGTCTAAGTCCGTGGCCAGGAAACTGAAAGAGCGGGAATTTGGGGGTGTTTGGTGGAGGGAGAAAACCTTTTTGATTAAAGCGAAGGTATTGAACGTGCGATTGATCCATTACGACAGGGATAATAAGCAACATAAGCTAGACGGGATTGATACATCTGACTCACCTCTCAGTTGTGGGCTGCTAACAGACGTAGATATATCACCTAATATGTATGGTTCAGCTACATTTTTCACTGAATACGCGATTAATTTTAACGAAGGTTTCTGCTTTATATTCCGAATTAATATTTCTTTTACTTTCCGTTGACAGTAACGGAAATTTTGTGTATTGAGGGCAAATTTCACTCCCACAGTTATCCAAGAAGCTGACCACTACGAGGATAGAATGGCTTGCTTTCATAAAACTCTCTGTCTGGCACACAAAACACGACTATTTTCTACCGGTGTAACGGTGATGCTACTGATGGGGTAGGCATGCGAGTAGTATGTTTTCATCTTGTAAATGCGCTCTGAGTCCATTGAAAAGGGAGATCTGTTGCGGAATCTGTGGAGTCGCATTTACTTGGATTTGAGCAACAGTCAATAAATATCCAAGAAAGTTCAGAAAGACGAGTTCAAGGAGATGGATGTTCATTTTTTGTAAACAAGATAAGTGTTTTGCTTCCCTGTCCAATAGTCTGTAGCTGCTCAGTTAGCATTTTCTAATAAATATCTCCGCAGCGAAGGCCTTCTTCCTTTTGCCGGTACACCCATTTCCTGCCAAAGTATGAGTTAAGCTCATGCTTGTAGCCGAACGGCTTGGAATAGGATTAGTAGGCCAGGAGGTCACAGGTCCGAGTTTCGTACGGTCCACACACCTGATGATTCCCAAAATGAATGGTGCTTTTTACAGTGCCTCTCGGCTTGTCATCATAGCTTGGTGTTGTATCCTTTCACCTGCCCTGACGCTACTGGGTTATAGTCAGAAGACAAGAAGACGACCTGAAGGCACTGTGTATTAACGCAATTACAAACTTCTATATATATGATTCACTTGTCACCGTATTTGACGGTCGATCCGCTGTCAACCAACCAGTGTCTCTCCCATACATCCACACTGGTTCTCGGTTGAGCGTAGATGGCCGTCTGTGCGCTTGTATACGGGGTGATCTCGGTTGAGCGTGGGTGTGAACTTTCTGTGTCCCTAGTTGACCTTTCTCCGGCACATGATGAAATCGGACGTGATTCCGAAGTGGGGGCATAATCGCACGGCTCTGTTCCACATGACTGTTCCGCTGCGCAGTAGGCTGATGCGCAGCCGTATTACTTGGCCTCGCCTGCACGACGAGATCTCAAATAAGAACGAACTAGTGGCAATTTGTAATGTACTACTCATAAGGTTGCTGAAAATCCATCGACAATTGCTTTTCACTGAGCATCAGGATTGACCAAGAATGAAGTACTGAAGATGACTTATTCCTTTAAACACTGATTGGTATTTGTTAGTGGACAAATCCCACCCTTTTGTGAGAAACGAGAGCTTTTTCAAGTACACGGTCTGGTCAAACGCAGTGAAAGGGCAAATAGCTTTCTTCACATAGTATGCCGGTGACATGTGGGATTCATAGTGTTGGATTCACTCTAAAGGTATATCAATTCCAATCGAATATCATGTAAAAAAAAATCAAAAGTAAGTACTATTTCTCCGACCTACTTTTCATCCAGATAGTATGCCAAACCTCCTTCGTTCATATTTTTTAGAAGAGATGACACAATCAGCAGTGGGTTGGCACTGAAACAGAAAGGATACAAAGGAGGGTGATTTTGCGGGATTACTCTCATAATTGCCTAACACAGCGTAAGAGTGAACGATGCTGCGGAATATGGGTAGCTCTGATGCGTCACCTGGTTGTTCGCCGAGTCTGTTAGCTGGTTTGCTGAAGTTTCATAACCAACAGAGATGGCATCATCAAGATGGGTTGAATGGATCGCGGTCAATCCACACCAGCAATTGCACCTCATTTAGTGAGGAGGCGATTGCTATCCATCTGCCAAGGTCGGCGAAAAGAGCAGGGATCAAACCGGCCAGAAATAGGTTCCGGTAAATTCCGGAAACGCCGAGCAATCTGGCTTTACTGCTCACCTCTCACCGCGTATTATGTCATGAATAAATGGGGTACAACTTACCCTATGATAGAAGTCAACTTGACCTAAATAATCCCGACCAATACAAGCACTAGAATTTCACAGTATTTCAGGCATATCAGGCACCATATTAATTGGAACCTAATTCAAATAAGCCCTGCAGTTTTCATAAATTTGTTTACACCTGGAACTCAACTGCCATCAAACGTGACAGACCTGAATATATTTATGAATACAGGTTGAGAAATCTCTCGGACATTTATGAAGAATGACGCCAAATTTCGGGTTTTCTTCTTGATGCTCGATTTTCGAGGAGACTTTCTACGCCAAATTTGATGGCTTGTGTAAGTGCATTATCCGTTTACTTCAAAACTTGAAAGTGTTTTGGGCCATAACTTGGCTTCCATGAATAATAATTGCAGAAACTGAAATTACGNCGAGCGTCGTGAAATTCCGTGGACCCGACTCTTTCAATCAGTAGACCTTGCGAATCCATGATGTTTCCTTCTTTAGACTGGCATAACAACAAAATGTGCGATTGATCCGGGCCAACTACAGTTCTGAGCCCGGTCAGATCGATCACTACGTATAAGGTACGTTGCAGCATGAAGCTACCATTTATAAGAATTTTATGCGTTGCTATTGAGTTTACTAGCATACTAGATTTTGGTTAAGGCGTTACTAAATATACTGCCGACAAAATATCAGTAGACTGTTCAAGCTTGTCTTGCAGTATTCTGAATATTTCTCAGTATGTTACCATCGTAAATTTTTCTTTAAATGTTGTCGCACCTTTGACGTGAATCAGAACCACTGGGGAAAGTCAAACCACGTTTTCCAATGCAAACTCACGTGGTACACTCACCGATACTGTGACCGAAGGCAGGTGAGGCACCATACAAGGCGTAGAACTTCCTTTGGTCTGTTCGGGATGACTAGAAGAAAATAAAGTATAATTAAATATATGGGTGGGAAATGACTTCCATGGGAAAGAAGGCACAGGGGAGACAACGGGGCTTAGTTACCCCCTATTCTGACTGATAACTGAATGATCATATTTTCCTGGGCGACAACTTGTACGTGATTGCCGTGCATTTGAAAGAAAATCGACCCTTTCAAACAGCGACAAAATTTTGCAACGGATGTCATTAGATTGTCAAACTGTGTAACTGAAATGGTAGGCACTTTGTCAGCGGCGGTCAATAATGGTTGTCAGAGCCGAGTGGCCAATCAAAAATGCACCGGTCGAGCACTGGTACATACATCATCAGCAGCAGCAGCGTGACAGCAGTGTTCAGCACTGGTATCTCTCTGCCATACAACCACGAGTTAGTTGAAAGCCTTATTGTGAAGAGAAGAACAAAGGGAAAGAAATAGTGATTTCTACATTCCGAGGTGCCCATACTTCATTCAGGCAATCTGAATAGAAACTGGCAACAAGAGCGCGAGTGATATAGATTGGCAGCCATATCTTTCAGCGTCTCCCACTAGGTGTACTCGGGAACACGCGGTCACAATTTCGGAAGCCGATTAACGCCGATAGTGCCATAATCTAACCACTGCACATCCTGGCGCAATGGTCTCTGGATCACCAGAGGTGAGCAGCCTGAAGCCAGTGGAGATTGATGGGGTGGTTAGCTCAACCATTGCGCTTGCATCTCGATTTTTTGTTTCTGAAACACAGCACACATCAATGCCAAGCTAGTGCAGTGTGAGAGCAAGAGAAGCTTGTTGTCCTGCATGCTTCAGTGTGCGGGCATTGAATGCGACCAAATAAACTGGGTGTTGAGGCTTGAAGGTTGATATGGAGATACCTGATAATACCGGCGCCGGAAGACTGGCAGATGTTGCTTGTAAAACCTTTGAAGGACGAATGACATCATCAGTTCTAAGTGATGGGCTTACGAGAAGAAAGTTAATAATGGGATTGAGAGAGGGGGGAAATGTATGCAAAAGAGAAAGCAGCGAGGCACCAGCCTTTGCCTATCTTTGTTTACCCTCCCTGCTGTGTGCAGCGAGTAATGCGACCCGGCTAATGGCATCACGCAACGACTGATATAGCATAAATTTATTTTTAAATGTGCAATTTATGGCCGTATGTAGGCCCGGTTACTAATGGAGCGCCCACACCTATGCGGGAAAACAATTAGGGTCTTCAACCAAAGACTTTTGGCTCAAAATCCTAACCGCAAGGCAACGTTGTTTGGCAGGAAACGCAAATACATCACAGTTTTTGCGAAAAAAATCGCCAACCTGGAGGACAAAGAGACCGTGTCCGTTTGAACTCGAGTCATTGACTAACCTAATTTAAGAGACCACGAGTGTCCCGCCGACCCGACGGGTCTCCGAGGTACACAAAACTTCACACCATGGTAAGGTCTAGTCTCTTTGTGACGACATAAACATCGTTAAAGAATTATGTGAAACGGTTAGGTTCAAGTCAACTCAACGATATCCATCTGCTAACAACTTACTCTTATAGAACTTTGTGAAGTTTTGATTATTAAAACTGTCAGCGTGCTGGGCGAAACACACGTCAGCCGTAGGACTGAAACCGATGAAAGTTGATATGAAAAATTGTATACGCACTGCATCAAAATCTCACGCATTCAAAGAGCAGGAGTGCTTTAGTAAAAATTTGGCTCTCATTGTCAATATCAGTGCTCTTATTTGAAAAAATCTATGCATTCGGATTAAGGTCTCAAATTAATTGGAACAAACTTGAAGTCCAGTATGGATCCTGCCGGAACGATTACCTATCCGGTCCACGAGGACACGTTCGGGTGTGGGCCGGAGAAATCCGCCATAAATCTGGTAATGCGGTTTTCGTTGAACGCTAACATCTAGCTAAGTTTAGAAGAACCAGCACAAAATTGCCACAGAAATTCCCCTTATCCAATATCCTATGGTTCTCCATAAATTATGCTTCTCTGTATGTCAGCAGGTCCTCATGAAGCAGAAGAGGGGAGAGAGTGGCTTAACCTCAACGCCATTCTTCCGTTTATACATAGGGGCTCAGGTTAATCTTATGTAGAAAGAACAGAGTGCATGAACAAGGTGAACCCCATAAGTTACGATAACAAGGAGTAATTTTAACTTTTTGAATGGAAAATGCAAACATTTTTGCAACAAAGTTTTGACGGACCGATTGACTATTACAGGAGATTCTGGTACCGCCCCGTCGGTCACTTACAAACACTGTAGTAACGGGGATTTATCGAAACAGGTGAATTCTAGTGCCTGATCAGTGATGAGAAGTCTGAAACCATTTTGTTTAGCTTGGCGAACAAACCAAGAAGCCACAAGACTGTCACGTTCCACTTGCTTGAATAATTCAAAGGTTCAATTCTGTTGTTGCGAAAACTTTAAGTAGTAGCCTCTTCCTACGTATATGTTAACTACATTTGCGACTCTTTTTGGTTTTTACGCAAAGAACAGAAAAATTCAAAAAAGCAGAATTCACGGTAAAGGATTCCTCATTCCCTGTTATACAGTTGCTTCGGTCAACAAGCTTCTCTTAGCCGCACCAGGGGAAGAGTCTCGATTAATTTCTAAATCGAGACACCTGTTGATCACTTGTTTTTGTCTCTTTACGAAAACCAAGTCAGAATAATGATTGCCCGAGATATAGACACTACAAAACATTATTGCCTACATAAGCGTGTCCATTATTCTCACCCGGATATATGGCTGTCAGTCTGCCTTGAACAGCGATTCGTGCAAGTGAGGGTGCATGTATGAGAGGACACGAGGTTCAGGACTGTGGGATTCCAGTGATACGGCTGCTTGAGGGGCCGCGTGGAAATAAATAACGCCCGGATTCTTTCTTGCCAAATGATGATGAACACCAATTGGGTTCTTAAACTTTGCCATTCTGAAGCAAATTATCTCTGTCACAAACAGATATTTTTATTACCAATCTTAAAGGTAAACTTAGATGACTCAGTTCAAGGCATTTCAAGGCCCAGTCATATTTTTCAAATGCAGACAAAACGTGACTCTGAACTCACGCACGTTGCCAAAAAGAAACAGGTGACGTTTTCATAAAAGAAACTACTCACAAGGTTGCTGAAAACTCTTCGACAGCCCACGACCGGTTTCGCCCTTCTTGGGGCTCATCAGGTAGGCGCAGTCCCCGAGTTACCGTCAACCTTATGATCTGCTTGAACACGAATTGGACTGTTTTCGAGAAATACACTCATTTGCAAATCAATTTGGTTTTCATCAGAGACTCAATTTGGGTTCAAGTAGAACATAANGTCGTGGGCTGTCGAACAGTTTTCAGCAACCTTGTGAGTAGTTTCCTTTATGAAAATATACTGCGATATCTCGAATATCGTGCCAACTGAATCACGAAGCGGCCTGTGTGCAGCACATTCAGCTGGAGGACGTCATAAACGAGAGATTCAACTGAGTCTCCCGTGAAAACCGAATTGATTTGCAAATGAGCGTAATTCTCGAAAACAGATAACGTTCTTCGAAAATCCTGGAACCCTAGACCTAATGAAAACAAAAATAATGGCATATATGTCGTCACGTTGTATTTTTCAAAGTATGAATACTTCCCGATGAGCTTACATTTTGCGAAGGTGGGAGAATAACTCGCTGATCATTCGTTCCAAATCGTCCAGGGAGTCTACAAAGTGTAAATGAGGCGTAATGTTGACAGAGGTAAACGAGGCAAGTTTGTCAACTTTAAAAGATGCGTTGGTTTTGGCCGCCTCTTCTTTAAGGTAGGGTTTTTTTAATGAATTTTATCACACCCCTATGCAGCTCGTTTTACGCGAGCAAATATTCCGAGGATGACACTAGAAACACAGACTGCATGTCAATTAAATCAATTTGCGCTATGTCCTTTCAGGTACTTAAAACTTTGGAAAAGCAAGGCCGTAAAAGCAGTCACAAAGGCGTAAGAACATTTTCTTGGGGGAAGCTCTTCTGACACAACACTAAGGGTGGTTCTTCTTTGATAATGTATGTTGCCACATTTCGAATGTCGTTCTAACTGAAACGTGAGGTGGACTTTGTGTAGAACATCCATTTGAAACATTCCCTAAAAGAGATTTATCTGGGATTCACTCGAGTATCCCGTTTAACGGATTGGTGTGCGAATGAACATTGCGTGTGAGAGGAAACGAATGTCGAAGCACTATCCAACTAAAAAGATCAAACAATACCTGAGAATAATCAACACTCGCTGCCTAAATGCTAATATGACACACGAAAGAATGTTTCTAACTGGTTTTCTGACTAATTTTATTGTGCAACATATTCCTTCTTGACCCCCTGTAAGCTGTTTCTGTTAACGGGTGTTTAAACATCGGATTTACACACCTCAAATTAGTCGCATTCTTTGGTTCGATACCTGCAAATAACATTCAAGTTTGCGCAGATGTACTCAGCTCAAAACGTGCAGTACGTGTTCTTCCACTTCTATAGAGCAATGAGATTTCATTAAATCCATTAGCCCGAAGCCTTGCTACCCTCTAACGGTAAAAATCAAAAGTACATCAAAAAGGTCAACTGTAAAGCACTCACGCGAGGATTGTACTACCAAAGTCATGTGATGTGCGGAATAATATGCGGCGAAATGTTCCAACAGTATTTGGCGTATCGCTTCCGTAGACCTCTCTGGTTTCCCACGAATAGATGAACTATTTCCTTCAAAAAATAAGAAAAGTGCCCCTCACAGTTATGGAGTTCTGGCAAGCACAAAGTATCATGCAAACTATCTAGGTGCTCCAAACGAAGGTGAGATTTTGAAAGTCAGTTCACGTGATACATTTTTCTCTGTTCGGGTTATGTGTAACTTACGTGCCACAAGTTATCCCGATACGGGTTTGTTTTTCCCACGTTTGCACACCAAAAATCCAAAGCTTACCACCCACTGAAACAACAAACGCGTTGTTGCTGTTTGAAAATGATGCAAACGCCAACCGATAAAAACCAATTCCCAAGTGAAGCATCATCTTGGGAACTGGATCCTAATTCGCAGCACTTCAAATATGCAAGCAAGCACATAGTTCCGAGAGTTTCGCGAGGAAGTTGACACCGTTCACATAAAAAGGTAGGACTGCATGGTCATTGGCTGCTAGTTGGTTCCGTTAGAACTCCCGACAAAGGAGCGGATGGATTGGACTTCCAAATTGCGCCTTCGGAAAACTGGCTGCCGACGAGAGGTTCATCTGGAGCTTCAAACTATTTAAGTCGTAAAAGGAACCAGTCTGGGTTCTGGTAGAATATGCGGTTGACAGAATCTCAGGAAAGGCGTGTAATTGATGAGTCTGAAGATGGGTGAACCGGGCCGTGGATTGTCAAGGAGTATGCAGCAACATTGTGATTAGCCTCCTCCTGTTAGAGTACTTTTATTCTCTTTCGCCGCATAACCCCATTGTTAGCACGTCCATGTTTTGAACACCTTTCATTAACAAGTGCAGTTTCGGTATTCGGCGAGGAAGATCACCCAAGTCACAACTACCACATTTCGCTGTAATTGGTATACTGGACCCTGATGAATTACAGTCTACTCATAAAATAGAAACAACCTTTTGAGGAAAGTGAAGAACTTCCTCAGTATCATAAGTCTCTATTCTCAGAAGTAACCAGTCGCGTGGTCAGTCGACGCTGGATCACACGAAGTGGATCGTGTAATTGAAATATGGCAGTGCTATATCCTGTTAGTATACTTGGTTGAGTATCGTAGCGCAAGGCTGCCGGTTGCAGTCTCTTCACAGATTCGTGATATAGGCCCTTCTGCTAGCCCTTAACGATGACAAAACACTTCCGCGATCATTCCACTGGATAGAAAATTTCGTCGCTAATATTTTACTATTCCCGCTACCTATAAATTCTGTAGAAACTAAAGACTAAATCAGTTTTAGGAAAATTGATGAAAACTACGGACAGTCTACTACCAATTTCACTCATTTAGTAGCTCATCTGGAAGACTAATTCCCTGACGCAAATGGAAACCTAAGGATGACGAAATTGCTAGAGCTGATGACTGGATAGTGTCCCTGATGGCCACAAGTACACTGGTATCCTCTTACAACACGCAGTCTGACCTAGTGTTCCTTTGTTCAGGTATCCAACGGTTTATTTTTCCCTGAAACTAAGTAGTATAAGGTGATTACGCAAAATCCTCAGACAGGCAAATGAGCTAGACTCCAACTCCAACAGTTTTATCGCGCGTATAAAATTGAAATCAGTGCTTTTTTCAAACAGATCCACAATCTCAAGCAAACTGGATTCACAGCGCCACAGAGGGATGTGTTTTCAGTTGGATTACGGTTCACGGTTCCTTAAAAGAGCATGGCAGATGTAGTAAACCTGTGTACTTCAAATACATGTGTAAATAAATGGGAGGCCCTGTGTCCAATTCAACAGAGAGCTGACTCGCCACCAAATTAGTACGTATTGCTCACCAATACTGTCCTCTACGTCACACCAGAGAAGACAAACATTGTAACACGATCGTAGAAGTTCAAAGTGCAGAAAAGCTGCCATAATCTCGGTATACCTCATTGGGTCAGTGTAAAAAGAGATAAGTTCAATAAAAGAGAGAAAGAATATCCTCTTAAACAACCGAACGGTCGAACTCGATAGTATTCCGGAAATAAAGCCAGTTTGTGGAGAGACATATCACCCAACGACTTTGAATCGTCAGATTTCTTTGCCGGTTTAGAAAAGCGAAACTCATCGGAACTTCGCCTGTGCATGGTACCCTGACGTATAGAATCAGCTCATCACAGCCTCCAGCCTATCACATAGTTGCAGGTTAGTTATTGGAACATCCTGGGCCAGTACACACATATATTCGCCTTATCACCGTCTCAAGTTATATACAGCCTAAATAATACCGTAAAGTTTTTCACTGAATTTTGAAGTCCTATTTACCAGTCTGCTCATCTATGAGACCGCTGACGTTTTGTGTAACTTCATAGTAAGATGGATTTTAGCATGTGGCAACATGTCGTGCGTCAGCTCTAATGAAACCAGGGATTGTCTAGGAAAATCAGACGTACAATCACATAACCTGAACAGTTTCCGCAAAACACTCTTTGCAACCGTACCTTTGTGAAACCTGTGAAATGGGGAACCATCTTTGGCCAAAAAGGAGATGAACTGTCGCATGGCAGCTTGATCAGTTACCTTGAGTTTCCTGTATTCTGTAATTGGAAAAGGCGGGAAAGCAATTAAGCCAGTCAGACAGCTTGAGAAGTGTGGAGAGTTGAAATTTGCACTTTGATGGAACAATAGATCAAACTATTCAATGTCCAAAAATAGTTTACTGGGATGAGAGAGTCTCACAGCCTGGCAACGCAAGCTTTTAGGAAGCCCATGAAACTTAACGTTTGAATAACTTTCTTCACCTGCTCACCTCCAACACGAGTGCAAATTCCGGTGACATGCAAACATTTATGGGTATGTGTATTTCTTGGAAATTTTTAAAATTCCAGCTAGGGCAGTCCAAGGCAGACCAACAAAATTTCAGAGAGAAATTTGCTTCAGGAGGGCTAATCCTCAAATTGGAATAACTATTTAGCTGACAGTACATCTCGTGGGGTTGCTGAAAGCTCTTTGACAACCTACTACTAGGACTTTTGTCCCACATAATGTTCATCAGGTAAACCTAGTGATCAATTTTCTACCAACCTTATGTTCTAGTGGAATGAATGAGGGAAAATAGTTACACAATCGGAAAAGATATTTCACGCTGAGACTGTAGGAGGCATAAGGGTGTGCCCTCTTACGAGCGCATCTTTGTGCGTCTTTTCGTGTGTTCATTTGCCATGATATTCTGTTTCTTTTCCAAGCCAATCATGTTCCTCATGGATCCTTTCGGCTCTACGGTATAAATCTCTGTTTTGTTTTGCTTGGGTTTTGCCTGTCGTGTACTGTGTACAGCCACCCCCAGCTAGTCGTACTGTTTTACTCCGCAAACGAGTCCGACAGTCCAGCAGCAGTTACGACACTTATACTTCTTGTCACTCGGTGCCGTACCAAAGAACCCGTCGGAAAACTTCACTCAGTCGAAATCGTCTGGCAGCTCTTAGCTTGTAACGTGACTTTTCGGGAAGCAGCTTGCCCAACCAATGAACTTTCCTCAAGATAATTTGCGAAGGAAATTTCGCTTACTGGTTGCCAACCATAGACCCGAGTTAGGTCATTCGTATACGTGGATGTGACAGACGCGTAAATAAACCCCTAGAGCATGCCGCTCATAATCGTCTCTGAAAACACGATATAGTTCGGTGAATATCAAATCACAAGTGAAAGTAACTTTTGGATGCCACAAACTGATTAGGAGCTGAGAAATTGGACTCCTGACAGCCTCAGTATTATTTTGCACACTGTACACTGCACGCGTCCGTCTGTTATCTCACTATCTTTTGGTTCCTTGTGCGACGAACTTTGTGTGGGTCGGAGCTGGTTTGCTATGTCCCGGTGTTCACCATGTATCTCTGGACTCCGGTTACCGGCGCGTCCACTACTGTCTCGGTAAGCCACCTGTTCTTCATGTCAAAATTAAAAATGATAACCGACGAGAGAATTGTCTTCGGGATCTCGTCCTCAGATCAATACTCATCTAAAGCTTACTTGGTTAAACTGGCGAAAAAATTAGCAGTAAATTTACAAGCTTGTCAAATGCAATGGACATTTTGTTTGGATGACCAGCTGACTGGTGGATCACAAAGTCAGCTGACTGAACGTCACAGCCCCTGTATGACCAGTGGGCGTTTATCAGGTGGGCTGTTGTATTACGCCATGATCACCTTGTGCAAACTGTTAGCTTGCCTCGCTTTCTCTTGTGGCACGACACATTCATTATCCGCGCACACGCCAAGGCGTCCAATCAGTTGATCTCAAAGTATAGTGATCCTCCGCCTACCGCGTTGGACTAACAGTAACTGGCTGTGTACGTTTATTTCTTACTTTCTACTGTTTACCATTTTAAATATGTGAATATGTACCAAGCCAAAGAGGAGATCCGGACTCAATTTCTTCGTCAATTCTTGCTTTAACGACATTATGGTTCTGTTCAGACTATCGAACCTAACTCGTCAGATATGACACTTAAAGCTGTCAGAATGCTCACCTGTATCCATCGTGCTTAACGCTTGCTTGATCCCTTCCTCGGGTAGTTCGGGACATTCGAACAACGTCACAAACCGCATCAACGCACCCTCCAGATGTGATGCTCCAATTTGAAAACAGAATGTTGTATACTCATAGGTACAGTAGGCGCCACTTTCTCCGTTGTTTTGTTGGAGAAACGCGTTGAAGCTGTTAGTCCCGGCAAACGTTTTGCTGCCTAAGGTTAAAACTAGAAGCAGAAAAAGGAAAGGTGAGTAAGAACTGACAAAATTTAGCGAGAATGTCTCCAGATGCACCTTGTATGAGTGGAGGGTGTGGTGTTCGAATCGCGTGCTGAGTTTCATAACTCTGCGTCTGAGCCCCCCAGCACATTGCTCGCCACGTTCCTACGTCATTCTGTTGAGTGCACATTGATCGCTAGCTTTCCCTCCTACACTACCATTCAAGCTATCCTCATTCACACACTCACATGCAAGCTCAGACAGCCTGTCTGACTAGTCTGATCAAACGGTCTTAATCCATGCTCTGGCATGGATTGGACTTGTGTCACGCTGACGAATAGGGTTAACAGTCTTGCTTCTGCTCCACGTAATGAATCGGCATTGGCCAGTAGCTACAATTCTTCCAGCTGCAAACACTATCAGTAGTCTCTATCTGTTGTTTTAAACGTTTTGTCACAGATCAGGGCTGGATCTTTGCCACGTTTCTGAGAATCAGAACAGAGCATCTAACAAGACACATTTATCCACAAACGAAGAGTAAATTATGGACCGGGTTTTGAGGATCTATCAGGGTTATGATGATTTCAACACTAGTGTGAGCACCGTGAATGTCATCCAGAAGAATTCACGCACTTTTTGCGTTGATGAGAGCATAAGTCCTCCTGAATGATCGTTTTATTGGGTCATGACATCACACCCAGTTCCTCCAAGCTAGTTATTTAGCAAAAAGTAAATCGTTTCAAGCAGTGGCATAAAGAACGGGACTACGTATCAGAATGGTTACTTCAGAAATTTAACATGTCGAGACTTACCGCGACTGAGGAGGTTGGCACAACCGGGCATTTCAACGGGGTCGGAGAACGAACCGAATCGTAAACACAAACAGGCAGCTGACTGTAAATGGATCGATAAATTTGCTTGATGTAAGAGCTATGTGTAGAACGTGAACCGAAACTGTCGTGTATGTGGAAAACTGCTGTCAGGATACAGGAGAAAGTTTTTATCGCCTATGGCATTGCCTCCCATTGAACTAGACTCATCACGTTACATCTTTTTATGAGAGCCCTGATCAGTCTAATTAAGGCACAAACAATCAGCCTCCATGAAACCGGAGAACTGCCTAATCTTCAATGGACAATTTGGATAGGAACCTTGGAAAATAATTAAACTGCCCCTACTAAAGAGATGGTCATAATTCAAGGCGTAGGATAGGTTATGTTTTAAAAACTCTTTTCACAATCATACGCTCGTATTGTATGTATCGGATTTTATGAGATCACCCTTGCTAAAGCCAGTGGTTGATTCAAGAATTTGAGTACAGTGTTTGAAAGTGGTTCACATCAATACTCATATTAGGCTCTCACAAGGTTTCTCACCGTAATTATCCTTAACTATATATACATGTATGTATGTATGTATGTATGTATGTATGTATGTATGTATGTATGTATGTATGTATGTATGTATGTATGTATGTATGTATGTATGTATGTATGTATGTATGTATGTATGTATGTATGTATGTATGTATGTATGTATGTATGTATGTATGTATGTATGTATGTATGTATGTATGTATGTATGTATGTATGTATGTATGTATGTATGTATGTATGTATGTATGTATGTATGTATGTATGTATGTATGTATGTATGTATGTATGTATGTATGTATGTATGTATGTATGTATGTATGTATGTATGTATGTATGTATGTATGTATGTATGTATGTATGTATGTATGTATGTATGTATGTATGTATGTATGTATGTATGTATGTATGTATGTATGTATGTATGTATGTATGTATGTATGTATGTATGTATGTATGTATGTATGTATGTATGTATGTATGTATGTATGTATGTATGTATGTATGTATGTATGTATGTATGTATGTATGTATGTATGTATGTATGTATGTATGTATGTATGTATGTATGTATGTATGTATGTATGTATGTATGTATGTATGTATGTATGTATGTATGTATGTATGTATGTATGTATGTATGTATGTATGTATGTATGTATGTATGTATGTATGTATGTATGTATGTATGTATGTATGTATATGTGTATGTATGTATATATTTATAGCTTCGGATAGATGTTTTGTGTTTAAAATAATAAGATAAGTTTCGTCGTTGGAGGTTAGCCAACAGGTCTCGCAACGGCCTTAGTCAAACAGGGGGGAGCAAACGGAGCCAGTCCTAGGTGCCCAGGCTTATCATAATCCACATTGTTTTACGGTGAATTCATCTCGAGGAACTACTTTGTTGTCTACAGGCAATAATTTGACTCGTACTGGCCAAGACGGCGCCGCTGAAGATTTTCGCTACCATAAGAGCCCCGTAAATGATCTACTCATTGTGAATTCGTAGGTGACAGTCTATTTCAGCAACATTTCCGAAATTCTGATGGTATTAGACCTAAGGAAATCTCTGCCCTCGAAGCTTATAACCGAATAATTATGGGTGCGTAGGGAACTCATTTCTTGAAGACAACACACACGGAAACGTGTATGAAAAACCGTGTGGAGGAAAGATTAACTGTTAGAGCGCTCACCAGCTTTGACCCAATTGGAGACTGTACCGCAAACGCAAGCACCGGTGTTGAAATGGTAACATCCTAAATATGTTGTCCAAAATTTTACACTACGATTGCAACGATGGATACTACTGATGAGGCATGCAAGTAGTGTCTTCTCATAAATCCACTTCACGTCTCTTGAAAAGTAAGATTTACTACGAAATTTATGGAGTCGCTTTGTACCATTTGCTTGCATTTGAGTGATAGTCAATAAATATCCCGGAAAGTTCAGGAAGACGCGTTCAAGGAGAAGATGGATATTCAGCTTTTATTAACAAGATGCATATGAGAATTTTGCTCCCCTGTCCAATAGCCTGTAACTGTATGAGACAAAGCTTGGTACGTTGTCCTTTTAGCAGTTGTACTACTCTTTTACTTAGTGACTCTCACAGTCTGCTCGTGATTCCTCCCTCCACTTAACTTAAGGTTAATAAATCGTTTCTGGTGCTTGATACCAAAACCTACCATGTCGTCAGTCCGGGGGGAATTTTTCAGTGCTGACACGTCTGATTCGGGGTTTTGCGGACTGGATAGCAAAAGCACCCGTAGGCCATTCTCCAATTCTCGGTATCTGGTAATCGGGAGCAGAAAGTCTGATGTAAATACCGGTTCAAAAATGAAGGGGATATGTGGAATGAAAGCAGTCTAAATTTGACAAGGCTTAGGCTGCAGTGTAAAATTTCAAGTCTGTGAGCTATGCGTGATTCCTCGAAATACACTGTTTCTCTCTCAACACAAATATCGCATTGTAGATTACTGAGCTAGCGAATAGGCACAATACTTTACGTAGATTGGAATTGAATGGTCAAGTATTCAGTGGCAGTAAAATCCTTGAGGAGATATGGTAAGTTTCATTGCAGATTTTATTCTATCAGCGTAGACAATCTAGGCTCAAAGGCCGGGAAGCACGGTACAGCTGTTTCATACTTATTTGGAATCATGATTATCTCACGAAAATTAGAGAATATAATACTCGTGAACTTCCGGAATGTTGTTGAACACTTAATCTTGAGGCGACAAGAAGCTGATCAGCAACGTGATTAGGTGTCACTTAGACAGAACACGGTGCCACTCATCCTCCAATCACGGGGACTGTTGTGTCTTGCTGAACCATTGTGCAACTGTTTCCTGCTCCATCCACTATGGTACATGAAAAAAAGAACGGTAGCTAAAAATGCTTGATCTAGATTGGCTGGCATTTTGACCAATTGGGGCATGCCTCTATTGGGTCCGGAGCCCGCACGTGACACATCCGTCCAATTGATGCGATGTTCGGTTATTAGGGTCATTTCCCCCCACTTGAGAAGACTGTTCAACCGACCGCTGCTTTGAACTAAACTCATGGAGGTGCTGCCACATGTCGGTCCGTCCCTGGGGCTGTGAGCATGCCGATCTGGGATTCGGTGCCCTTAATTTCGGAGGCATATAACGGCTTTTTGGTGTCCCATGCGATGTGGTTCGTTTACGGAGTCGCAGTCCGTTGTCTGAAGTTGGTTGCCTTGGCTTATCCGTGCTTATGATCTTATCTGTGCATCGTGCTCTAACTAGTATTCAACCGAGTGTCTACTATGAAGAGCATTCCCTAGACGCTCGAGTCAGCATCTGGCCTACAATTGATGCGAATTTTGGTTATTAAAGACGGCTGGCCTCCGGACAGAACCCCCCAACTTATTGACTTCATCATCAAGTGGCAATTTTCAGAGAGGAGTTTCATTCACATAGTGTAGGTGTCCCTCGTGTGAGCTGACTATTGATTGACGGAGGTTTGAGCAATACACATGACCATCTCTATAATTACTGCCTCAGTAGATGGATCAGACATTATCGATGTGCTGTGAGAACATTCGGTCTGGGGGGTAACTTTCTGGTGAGATACACTTCAAGACAGTGGTACTATCTTTCAGATTATTCCACTTGAATTTCGCCCGTTCAGCTAGACCAACTGTCTTTAGTACCTGAAACCGAAAATTTCAAGCACTGGCTGTCTTGCAAAAGTTTCGTAATGTTTGATTAAATTTTCTTATTTTGATCAAAAAGTAATCTTCGGATTTAAATTCAACGCGGTTCTTTCAAAGTACTCGTTAATGCAAACCGTGTGCTACTGAATTTATAAACTACTCCCTCTAAAGTGTATTTATTTACTCAGTGGAAGCATGATAAATGGCAAACTGTACTTCAGTTAAACCGGAATTAGAGGCTACAGTTAGCTGAATAAAATTTGTGATCAGGTACGGCAGGAGACCTTAAACTCTGGCACTGAATCTCATCAATGCGTTATAATCTCTGTTGCTGGCTGAATAACTTGTAAACGATGTGCAATTTTCTATATGGCTTGTTCAACTCATACACTGTTCTGAATAAAAATTGAATTGAATCTGTCAGCTGTAGCACCGTTTCGGTACCAAGCTGCCATGCTACCCGAAGGAAGCACAAGGGCCGGGATACCGCCAGCTAGTCCAAGCCTAGACAGGGGATCTCAAGAGGAAGAGGTCGAGTTCGAACCACGGACCTTGCGGTTAGTAAATTCGCACTTTAGCCACTTGGACCATCTCGCCCCCATTCACTGTTCTATTTTCTTACGGTACTCTGTCACTGTTCGCAAACCCTTCCTCAGTTTTCACCACAAGCCCCGTACCGCCAACCAGTTACAATGACTCTCAATCGCTCTCAAAATCAGCAGCAATGAAGTTTTGTCCTCGATAGGTGCCGCTTGACTCTTCTTAGGCTATGCTAAACCCTGCGGGCATCATTGCAAAGCATACATCACCCATTAATCCGACGGGAAAATTATGTAGGAGAGTTTTGGAAAATTATACAATTGTGCACTACCCCGATACTGATATAAAATATCATTATGAACTATGGAGCTCAATTCTGACTGCTATCACCAACCGTCTTTTCCAATAGAATTAGCCAGTTTATCACTACGAAATGAGGTTATAACCCATTAAGGCGGCGAGCTTCTCCGTTCACACTATACCACAAGCTCAGTTTATAGTTTGTACCCTATTTTACCAGTTCCGCATGCGTTAGTTATTGCACAACCTTTGTCACCCTTAATGGTGCGATGATCAACTTTTTTTGATGTAAAAAGCGCTGAAGACAATCTGGAATGCCGTCTCAGTACCCACTGGATGACGCTCGGAGAGCACATTGTTTAGGTTTCGGGCCAATTCGGGGCTATGTTTTCAGGACCACGTCAGACTTATTTAACGGGGGATTGTAAGCTGCTGAAGCTACCGTATTTGGAAGGTTGGACGAAGCACTTTGATCGAAATGAGTAGACGATTGGGGTCAAAATACAGAACAGCGTTTGCAAGAACAGGCAAGTACTAGAGGGAAGTTGGTAGATTTGGTATGAGGCAGCTCAATTGTGGTGAGCAGAGGGGCTGAATTTCAAAATACAACGTGGAACTGCGCTCACGGCTACTCCGTACAAACGATTAACTGGCTTCTGTGACGCCATTAGTGACGCATGTTGTCCGTGCATCTACAGCTTTGCTAATACACAAATTATCTTCATTTCTCATGATACAGTTGAAGCTTGTGTAGTTATTTAAAGGTCTACGCAAAACGTAAGACCCCAAATTCCCTCTGTCCGACAGAAAATTGTGATAAAAGACTTCGAAAGAGAGAATACTGCCGAGAGTAAACTTTGTGTGATACCCCGAATCCACTAGGCTGCTCAGGATGTGATTTTACTACCAAGGATCTGTTCCTGAAATGTGCATTCTTGGATAATATCGATGAAGCAATTGAAAGAAAATGGAAGAAGAGGCGACCTGAAAAAACCACTGCTTAGAACAAAATTCTGTACAGTCCATTATGACACTTTGCGAGACTAGGGGTCTCGAATACACACAACCATTTATTTAGTTATTTAGTTATATGTTTATTTATTCATGAACTTATTCACGACAGTACAGGGCGAGGTGGCTCAAGTGATTAGAGAGCGGTTTTACTTAGGCAAGGTCCGTGGTTCGAACCCAAGCTCTGCCTCTTCCCCTGTCCTGTCCAGTTTACTTAGGCAAGGTCCGTGGTTCGAACCCAAGCTCTGCCTCTTGACTTCCCCTGTCCAGGCTTGGGCAACCTGGCATGGCAGCTGGGTACCGGAAGAGTGTTACAGCTGAACGTTTTTTTTTCGACGGCACTACCAATTGGATTTCGTTTGCTGGCTAGTATATTCGTATTCATTGATCGACGGTATACAGCGCTACAAAGTACTAGACAGCATGTACGCAACTGATCATTGCACCCTTTAACCGGGCGAAACCACGCTAGGAACTTCAGGATTCGCTCTTCAGGCGCCGTATCTAAACATCGTGGAATGTTGTTGTGACGGACCTGTAATCTACTCAATCCGAGTTGGAAAATTAGTCTTGCGTAACTATTTCGCAGTGATCTAGTAACTGGTTGACTCCGCTTAGAGATACTACTCGTACAGACAACAGGGTTTAGGCTGAAAAGGTACGGTTCCGCCTAGCCGATCATCTCAGGATTTGAGACAGTGTGCTTCCTTGAGGTGGTACCTCCTCATAACAACTACGTCTACACTAATGATGTTTTTGGTGCAACTTTGGGGTCTTCCATTATACTAAGATCCCATTCCCCTGAACCCTAAGTAGGCCAATTCTCGGACGCGCATCTCCCATAAAATGACTAAAATATATCAATGACCAGCTTGAGTACTGCTCAAACACTTCAGCGACCTTGTGAGGCATGTGAATCGGCATCGCTAATGAACACCAATATGGTAAGAGTATCAGTGGCTTGTTCCTGGAAAACCAAAATACTAGTATGCTAGAGGTTCCTCACTCACGGTTCGAACCCCAAGTGCATCCAGTACGTCAATAAACTGAAGTAGTTCTATATGTTCCCCATCAGCCTGAACGCGCTTACATTTAATAGAGTGATCGCTGTTTTGGTACTTTCCTAGTGTCGAATCTAACTTGACCTTATGATAATTCCCCCATTCATTTGCTTACTCTGCCCATGTACTTTTGATCTCCAGTTATTTTGGTTTTACGTACCCGCCACTCATCATGCCGTCCGACACTTGTGTATTGGCATGTGTCTGTATGTGAACCTGCGCTCCTGACCTACTTACCCATGCGCGTTCGTGTCCCTTTTGGTGAGCCTGCTTTGACTCGTTTTCTCATGAGGTGTGAGTGATCGCACGTCCAACGAGAATCATGAGACCGTCATCAGAAGGGACGACCGCAACCCACGCTACTGAGCCATCATTCCACTCGCCGTTGTTTGGCTTGCGGACGTTGACATTTCACTGTGCCGGTCAGTGGCAGATCTGTGAGCTTGTTGACGCTACGAACGTGAACAACTGATGTTTGTTGTACACATTTGTTTTCCATTTTGTAGGTAGTACCGTAGAATTCCGAACCCAATTCTTCCTTTTGATATTCAGGATTGTCGGACCTACGCGTCACTCAAAGTTCCGTATCGGGAACCTAAACTTCTAGTTCAGACAACAAACGCTTCACCATTATTCCTGACAAATTTGAAGCACAATAGATCTATTCTAAACTCAAGAATGGCGAGAAAACTGGGTTTTGGTTGCTTGAACTGACGTTAAATAGAGACACTGGTGGGCGTAAACGAGACCACAAATTCATTGAATTCATTTGATAAAGATTACCAACTTAGTATGTGAGAGAAACTACACAAGAATCAGTTAGACGCGACTGTCATATGGATGACGGTTCCCTAGTTTTCGCAAGGCATTCATTAATAATGCACAGTTGATCAAATTAAAACAATCCATACTGAAGTATGCTGGCGACGGGGAGCAACATCAAGCGTGTCAAAGTTTCTACGAATTGTGTATTTGTGTGCGGGGTTAAAGGTTACAGATTTCTCAGATTGTCGACATGTTTTCAGCGACCACATGAGTAGTGTGCCCTGTTGAAAAAATATGCTGCGATATCTCGAATAATGTACCTAATGAAACGGATGTCGGCCTGCGTGCATTACATTGCGGTTGGAGGATTCCGTAAACGGATTCAGTTCTGTAAAGTCTCCGATAGAACAAGATCAGTGTGCAAATGAGTGTACTTGGCGAACTGTGTCTAATTCGGGTTCAAGAAGAAAATGGCGTTGACTGGAATGCGCAATAACATATTAAGTGGAACTGGATTAAAGTAGGTTTTGAGACTAATTCAAAAAAAAACATGCCAGGGTAATCAGAGATTCAAAAAGTCTACCATTCACCTTATTAGAGAAAACGCACCAGTTCCGATCTATAAATAATTTGCAGCACCCACTTTGCTGATCGGTAATCTCGTTAGTTTTGGATGGTTAACATCACCTTGTAGACTTATACCTGCTAAAAAAGCCTAAAAAAGTCTACTTCAGTAAAATATCTCCGTCCAACTAGTTCTCAACCCATCACGTGGTTGGAATCAGATAGACTTGGGGTCATAACCCGGTTTCCGTACTCGTTTGTTTGAATCAGGTTAATTTTCCTATCGGTCGTTTTGATGATCTCCAAAGTTCCGACACAATACCAGAGCAGGTGAAGCGACTCACTCGAGGAATAATTTAATGAAGACAGATATGCAGTGGTGTGAAGATAGAGACATCTGTCTCGACTCTAACCATTACTGTGGTCATGGTACGTGTTTAACCTACCTCGTTGGGAGCACTTGTTTGTTCCAATGTTACAGTGAGGAATATAGACTTTTTGGTTTGGCACTAGCCTCTAATTTTGCTTGCCTGGTGTCTGAATGATACGAAAAGAGTTATCTATTCCCATTCGGCTTGTTTTAATCGCACTGATGCCGTCGATCTTTTATCCAGTTAAACACTGCCGGTCCAGGAAACAGAGGAACATCCGGTTCTAAAGTAATGACCCAGATCCTGGATAATCACACACATACACACATAAACGTGTAATCTCCACTGGCCTAACCTGGTGAAATTCGCGCACGTACAGTTCAACCATACATGAGTCACACACGCACACATGAACGCCGAACGTCCATTACGGGCCTGGAGAACCAAGCTTCGTGATGACTCATTGCAACGCAGTATAATTCCTCTCGTGATCATTTTGATTGGACGAACTCTTTGAGACGGTGGATTTGCCATCCTGATCGAAATTTTGGAATCATTGTAAATAGATGGCCGTGTTTGTAAGAAAGGCTTTCAGTATGAATATCAAACCCCACGGGACCGAACCTATTCGACGAAATAGTGATGATCACCTTCTAACCAGTTTTCCCAAACTTAGATCTTCCTCCAAAAATCTGAGGCTGAAAGACCGTCCCCAGGTAAATGTGCCAAAGTAACTATCTGAGCAACTCACAGACCGTTTTTTGTTGTTTACATTCTTATGCAGATTTACGTGTGACCGATTTCCAGCTTTCTAGTTTCATGCCATAGTTTGAAGGTCACATGTGATCGATTTAAGTGATATCTTGTCATCTTTGTAATTCCATCGGATGCCATGTGATCCCTGTGGAGTTATTTTAGGAATAAGATGGGGATATTGTGTGCAAAAAAATGCCAGAATTTCTTAACGGGGAATGTGAAGTGTCTAATCACGTTGCTACACCGATGAGAAATTATGCGTTTACCTACTGAAATGTTGATATCTTTAGTGTACACGTCTATCTCGTTAGCAGCCTGCTAGAAATAGCATGTCTTAGTTTCAAAAAAACAAACAAGTTTGCTGGATGAGTAGAGATTGTTTCTTCCAAAAGCAAATTTGACAGTTTCTAAGTCGATCGAAGAGAAGATGAATTCATCTGAAAAGTCGTCACTCGAGCGGCCAATCAACACGTGATCACGTGACGTGGCATGATATCTGTCCAATCGCAAGTGAATCAGGCTGCTGATTAGTTGCTCGTAGCCGAACTGTTTACCCTTCAACCACATTCCTGGGTACTGCGAGTTTCAATCTCCCTGTTGATGATTTCCAGCAAGGATGAAACCGCTGAACAGTGCTTCCCAGGTCTTCGACACAGATGACTTTTACTTAAAGCATGTAAACTCAAGTGGAAATAAGATAAAATGATTCTGCAGAATAGGTGTTCCATTTCGTTGGTAACAGAAAGGTGATTCATTATTCTCTATCATCAATGAATGTAATGGTCCTGTCCTACATCTCTCACATCCTTTGGTGATTCTAGAATGTTATGAATCTTGAAATATCTGCTCACCTGTTCAACTCAGCAAAATAAATACAAGCACCCTCACTAACTGGGTTAAACTGAGTTGACACCTTCAGTTCACTTGACTCCAGTTTCCTCCTAGCACACCAATCGCTTCTAAAGCTCGTTCCATTTCGTTGCAGCACTCAGCAATCCCAAAAATGACAATACTCAACGAAAAAAGCCAGGTGTTGACAACAAGATCAATTTTTTCCCTGACGCTGCGCGATTTCGGCTACCCTCAGGCACAATTTTGTGTTGTTATCTTGACTTTTCCGGGAACTCATCTTGCGACAGCTACAATTTCACCTTAACGCCTATGATTTTCTTTGTCAAAACTATAAAAATCTGTTTTCTTTACAAGAAAATGTGTTTGATATTCAACTCGATGCCTGAGTGTTCTGTTTCACGTTTTTAAATACCGTAACATAGAACAATGAGTAGCGTCGTAGTGATACAGTAATGAGGACCATCCAGTACCTGTGATCCTAGATATCACTGTTTAGCAATTCAGTAGATTCAGTTCCGTCCAGCACTTTTGTTTCATGATTTCAGGAAACTCAAGTAAGCACACTAAGGGAACACCACTACCCAAAAATTAACAACGAAAACATCGTACTCACCGGTAATCTCTGGTGTCATTTGTGCTCAAATCAATATGCATGCTCATCCCACTTTCGCTCTAAAGTTCAGTGCTGTGCGAGTACATTTATATGCAAAGCCGGATGCACCTGCATGGGTCTGTGATTCGAATGGTATCTATGTGCACTACCCTGGTAAATTTATGATCAGAATGGCGGAGCACATCTCGACACGAATCACGCTTTCAGAGATTGCATGCCAGCACGCAACCAGTGAACAGTTATTGATTGAATCCGTACAGCTACAAGCGCCACACAAACGGTTAATCTCCTTCTCCGCAACCCTGTGTTGTCTGCCTGTAGGATTCACGTGTCAAGGTCATTGGACCTCAGTAGTATGTACGCGCCATTGGTCCGGGTTACTGACTACAACCGTGAGTATCGTTGTGTTTTTACTACTATTTTTGAAGTCAGGCTGTTTGATGTGATAATGAAGCTGCATTCGATCCCAGATGCTGGTAAGTAACAAAGTTTCGAATTCTCCTTGAAAAATACTGAGTTGCTGCAAGCGAGGGAGTAGTTTGATTGTCTCTGTGTCTGGAAGTAGGTTGAGCACTTGCGTTCAATTCTACTAAGTAGGAGCAAAAGGAGCAGTGGAAAGCCAGTTTTGATATTCCACTTGTACTTGTTGCAGAGTCGGTCGCCTTGGCTCCCAAGAGTTGCTTAAAAACTGTTCACCAAACGGATAGTGAAATGTCTTCCAAGCAAAGATAACTTCCAGGAGGAAGCACTTCCGCGAGAGGCGCAATATAAGTAAAGTGGTCTTTTTCCACTGCAATCCCTTCACGAGAACAAATCCACTACTCAACTAAATTAATTCTCAAGGAAACATAACGCTTTTGAAAAGCTCTACCACACAAATTCATATTTATTAGCTTCCTGGTGAGCAGAATGATTGATTTAACCACTGCAATTACACTACTTATAACCTGGTACACTACTAGGGTTCCGACTAACCGATTCCCACTCAACGTCTAAATGAAAGACAAATCCATTTCAGCGTTTACATGACACCTGGAAGGGCAAATTTTCACTGAGTGGCTTACTACAGTCTCCATAGAAGGGCCAGCGAGAGACAAGTGTTCGTCGGTTCAGACGCGAAAATTCAGATGCTTTCAGCGTGAGCTGGTGGACCAGTGGTGACATGCTTGCTCTGTTGTGCAGAGTACAAGCCCCGAAACGATCAAGAACATGCACTGCTAATGAACTCCATTGGTGTGGACTCACCAGAATAACTGCGTGCGGACAATAGGAACACTGTTCAGACGAGGGTGACGAGAGCGCGCAGTCTACAAATCTCACAATCACCCACAAATAAACAACTGAGTTTTGCCAGATTTATATCGTCTGGTACGCACCATCCTGTGTAAGTGCGTCTGAACATCGCCCAGGTTTTATGTGAAAACAGATACCAGTGAAAGGAAGAAGGCCTTTGCTGCGGAGTTATTTATTAAGAAATGCCAAATGAACAGTTAGACTATTGGACAGAGGAGCGAAACTCTAATACGCATCTTGTTCACAAAACTGAATATCCATCCTCTCTTTGAACGCATCTTTCTGAACTTTCCTGGATGCTACAAAGCGACTCCACAAATACCGCAATAGATCTCACTTTTCAAGAGATGCAAAGCGGATTTACGAGAAGACATACTACTCTCAATCCACCATCAGTAGCATCACTGTTACACCAGTATAGAGAACAGTATAGTACCAGGACATTATCTGTCAGCAATGTGAGGTGAAGCTAGTGATGTTGCTTTTTTCGGCTTGAAACAACATACGGTGCAATACAAACAACTACGAAAGTGACACAAATCAGACAACGACGAATAGTTTTCAACTGACATTTCTCTTTTTGAGGGTAGTCAATCTTTACTCAATAGAGGTTTCATCCTGTCAGTGAATCCAGTCTATGCTGAAAAAACGAGCGGTACTCTCTCATTCTTGTTGAGAATCATCACCTGGCGCATCTCACACACCTCAATCTAAATTTAATATCCAAGAAGCTCTGCACATCTATTTCATCTCTGTTGAGAATTTTCAGTAGTGCGAATCCCACAAACTCCCAAAATAATTCCAACTCTAAACCCCGCACCTAGTCGGTGAAAACTAAACTTGCAGGCCGGGTGACTGATGAATAACCATTGTTATTAGCCTTTGTCAGTTAACGACAACACTTTTTGGAAGTGAAAGCTCGGGAAAGCAAAAGTAACAATGTAAGAAACGTCCATAAATATAAAGGAATAGTTGAGATTTAATCTAAGAAAGAATGCAGAACAAAATTTAGCTGTGATTAAAACGGCTCTTTCAGTTTTCAAGCAACAAAATGGATTCAGTTATCGACAGAAAACGTTTCTAAGAATGCGAAGCAGCTTTCTTCAGTTGTTGGTTTGCAACTTATCGTCTGAATCCCGATACTCCCCTGGATTGATTCACAGGACTTTAGGACAAGATTCTATCTGTAGGCATGCGGTTCATTCAGTTTTGCCGGCACTAATTCCATAAACGAAGATGATTGGTGCATTCGGGAATCTTAGCTGGGATTGCTGAGTTGTGAGGCAATTTGAGGACTGGATCTTGAGTATAAATACTTGCGTATCTTTGCATTTTTGCATCTTTGGAGTGAATTGGTGGACAAAGATGAGACTCATGTACCATCAAGTGCTTGTGACAAATAACGTGCCATTAGGAACAGATGAATGCGTTGAATCTGTGCACAAGACAAGTGGTTAAGCAAACCAACTTTCCCCGTTAGTTTGCTCTAAAACATTTGTACCATACAACGAAGATGAAAGTACAACAGCACAACAGATGAAAGTACAACACGTCTCGTCCCTAGCTGAAGCAGCATCGTTAGTGCACAGTTGAGTAGTGGTCACTCACTATACTAGGATGGTGACAAAATGCAGTCACACTGATGTCGGTTATCATTGTATTGATCGCGTAGTGACCCTCGTTTTCGGGCACTGAGAAGGAGTAACATTGTATGGATGTAACACATTGTTCATAAGGTGACCCCAAGAAGGGCGAAATCGATCGTGAGGTGTCCAAGAGTCTTTAGCAACCTGATGAGTTATGTATTACGTCCATATGTGTGTCGCAGTAGCTCGGATTCCGTGCCAACTGAAACATGAGGTGGCCTTGTGCGACAAAGTTATTCAAAAGAGTACATCATTAGTGAGAGATTAAGATGGGAATCGCGTGAAAACCAGATTGGTATGCGAATGAGTGTATCTGTCGAAGGAGTAACATTACGCGCTATGCTTTAAACTGTGTGTTATTAAACACTGCGCAGTGCGAATCACAATTTGCTAATATGGTTGGCAGCCAGCCCCTTATGAAGGTCGCATACAATTTTGACCAGTTTGACCATCCCCCGTGAACAGTCCCAGAGAAACTGTGGGCATTTTGAGGTGCCCAAGTTAAATTTTTGATGTGGAAGGTAAATGACTAACCGAAAAGTGTCGGGAAGCAATATGAATCCGTTCCCTCCCCGGTACTGAACATCAGCGCATCAAAGGCATCACCTTAACCAATTGGAATGCTATTAGAGTAGGATTTTAACCGTCATATACCTTGGGGTGATGAACAGTGATGAACTGACATACAGGGAGTAGCATAACACACTTACTTCACGCCATGTGGTTTTCTCTTGCTTTCCTCCTGCTCACTACGTACCCAGTACAGTGATTCTTACCTAGAGCGACCCCCGTAACAGTGGCTATTCTCACACTAAAACCAATTTCGGCACACACTCAAAAAATTCAGTACAGCTGTCATAGCGTGGACAGACCACTCCCATGAACTTATGGCGGAAAATTGCTCGCATATCCCCGAATCCATGCGAATAGCCTTCTTCCTCAAGTCTCCATCTTATTTACAGCGACCGGTTTTTCATTCACTAGAACTCAGTAGAGAGACGGCACAAATAAGTTGACCAGAATACAGAACACTGGACAAGGCCAACTACCACAAAACGTGTTCTTTAGAAGAGCCAACAAACATCAGAATATATGACAGGAACTGTATGGCTTAAACATGAATAGTGCTGAATCAGATCACGTTGCAAAATGTTCACTGTCACGTCCAAAAGGTTGCAGGTTTGTAACTTCTCGGGAATCTTTGGGTCAAGCACTTTTGGTTTTTCCCAACACACACAATGTGAACAAACAACAGATAATATGACTAAAGTTGGCTGAATGTTGTGTCAACCTAGAAGGTAGTGTTTGTTACCAAAAAAGGCAACCAAGTACACACAGTCATGATCATAAGACGTCCAAGTGTTGCGTGCGTTTAGATTTAAAATGCTAGTTTTCTATTATTATGAAATTGGGATCACCCCATATGTCAATGACAGCTGCAAACTGCAGCTCAGTGGCGAGCAGTGTATAACAATCAACATCACAATGTATAGATAAAGTACACGCACGCATTTATATTGTGAACTTGATGTTTCGCTTCAGAGTTTTGAGATTAAATTGTAGGGTGCACTGGGTATTAAGAATGTGATAGTTTTCACAAGTAAGCGGAGATTTTTTTATGGTTCAAGAAGGTATGGGAATTTTGGCCAATCTTCCTTCCTAAAAGTAGTCAGTTAGTGCCAAAATGCCCAGAATCTCACACCTCAAGCATCTCAGGCAACCTCTCTACTAGTGTAATGGTGGATGCTACTGATGAGGCATGCGAGTAGTGTCTTTTCGTAAATTCGCTCCGCGTTTCTTGAAAAGTGAAGTCTATTACGGAATTTGTCGAGTCGCTTTGTAGCGTTTGCTTGCAATTGAGTAACAGCCAATGAATATCCAGGAAAGTTTAGGAAGACGTGTTCAAGATAAGTTGAATAATCAGTTTTGTAAACAAGATGCATTTGAGAGTTTTGCTCCCCTGTCCAACAGTCTGTAACTGTTCAGTTTGTGATTCCCTAATGAACAACTCCACAGCAAAGGCCTTCTTTCTTTCACTGGCAGTTGAAAATGCAACTTTTTTGGTCAAAAGCTGCTGATTAACAGTGTGAATAGTTCACATTTAGACAAGATGTAG